GAGTCACTTTCGGACGGAGGAGGCAACGTGTCCGTGGATCCACCTTCAGATTCCGAGTAAGTCTCTCTTGATGTTATTTCATGGCGTGGCTCTAGCAATGGTACAGCTGTTCACTGTAGTAAGACTGGCTCTAGTGGAACCTCCGCTCAATTTAAGGTACGACAGTTGGATGAAAGGCAAGAGCTAGAGCTTCGTGGATCGAAGGCTAAACAAAGACAGGAAAGGTCGAGTCTGGATAGAGAGCTGAACTTATTAGATGTGAAAGGGGGTTTGAATGACACTTTTCCGCTGTATGATGACATAGAGTGTCACAAATCAGTGTGACCTGGCACTGACCCTCGCAATAGGCTTAACCCTGAAAGACCAGCCAGGTAGGCACCGTGGAGAACAAGGAGATTGCTGCCACTTTGTCCTGTATTGATGTCGGCCATGACTTGCCAAAGGCAGAATTATGCAGCGTTGATGGACACCCAGCCAAATACTGGAAGTTTATGAGGTTATTTGAGCTTTACGTTGTCCCTAAGGCTGATGATGATGGACAGAGGCTGTTATGCTTGTTACATTACTGTAAAGGCCAGGGGGGCTATAGAGGAATCGGTTATGTTACCGCCATCTGCTGGTAACCACAGAGCTCCAGATATGCTCAAACGTTTGTTTGGAAGGGCTCATGAAGCCAGCAGGGCTGTGCTGCAGGATCTGATGGAATGCTCGAACATAGAACAAAACGATGCTGAGGCAATGTCGAGGTTGGCTATAAAAATGGAAAACTGCTCTATGGCCCTAGAACAAATGGGCCATACTGCAGACCTTAACTCCTTGAGAACTTTAGAAGATACAGTAAAGAAATTGCCCCTTGTGTTACGGATGAAGTAGGGCGGAGACCGCCGAAAACTTAACCGAGAACGGAAGAGAACCCACCTTCGCAGAGTTGACGCAGTTTGTGTCAGCACGTGCAAGCATTTTGCTAGGTACGTTCGGATAGCTGACAACAAGCAGTCAACGACCAAACAGTAAAATAGCATGTTCCACGCAGCAGTTAGTACCCTCTGGGGAAGTTATGAAACCTTCACGTACAACTTGTGGAGGGGGCCATGTGGTCACAAAATGTGCCACATTCCTGTCACTACCGGTGGGTGAGAGATGGTCGAAAGCTAAGGAAATTGGTTGTTGTTTTTCCTGTCTCAAAAGAGGCCACAGGTTCCCAGAATGTAAAATTCACAGGGTGAGCAGTCTAGAAGGTTGTAAAGCACACCATCACCCTCTGCTACATAAGAAGACCCACCATGACGAAAGCGGACAACTGGAGGAAAGTAGTTGTGGATGTACTGAGTCTCTCAGAGAAAGCGTGTGACTGGGCCTACTCCCGGTACGCGTAAAGCACGGTCAACTCAAAGAAGCGTCTTAGAGACGTACAAGCGTTTCTCAGGCACAGGCAATTTAAAGACGAAAACCATCATCGTGCGTTCTTCAGAAGTGCACACATCTTTTCCCAGCGGTGGCCACTCCAAGGTATCGATCACTCCAGATAACTCCCCTAATATATGATTATATTACCTATTTTAGCATCTTACCTTTTCCCCTATTCTTGAACCCGACATATTATAGGTCATTTTTCTCTTTATATGCAGCGTATTTTGACCTGTATGAGAAAATCATTTTGTAATAATTTGTCATTTCCACAATGAGTTCGTGAACGTGTGATACACTTTGTTTCATTACCACGATAGGCTTGAATCTTACAGCCACTTAACGGGTGGTTACCAGTATCACCTGCCTTGAAGGAACATACGACGTACACAAAAAATGTACTTCTTGCTGCACAAATGGTGTGTGTTCACATGTTTGGGAACAAGTATCATTGTTACGATGGCTGTTTCCAAAATAAGTTCTCCAAAAATGAAAATGACCTTCGCTTCCATTATATTCTCCCTTTAAGCACAATATTATTGGTGAGTTTCTCCACGAATACGCAGACACACTGGTGATACAAGCATGATTAGATTTGTAAGCAAATAACATGTTTCACTACGGCCGTTGATATTAGTCACCTCCTATGGAGTTGGTGAAAGATATCCAAACGCCATATTTAACTGAAACACAGCTTGTCATGTGTAAATTCGTCTCTAAAGTTTCACTTGCAATATATTGGTCAATAAAATGAGCGCTCCAGAGGACCGTGCGACGAGATATACAGGAGTTTTCACCTCACATACATAAGAACTGTCTGGTTAAGTTCATGCATTACATTTTTCCCTCAAGAAAACGAAGATTGAGGCTAACGCTTATACTGGAATATCTGTTAATAACGATGAGTAGGATTTGGAGGTGAATATGTGTTCCGTTTTGAAAAGTGTCCTTTGCTGAGTGCACGATCATGAAGATGACGCGTTCCCATGCCAGTATACATCGAGATGTGACAGCCTTGCAGCGGCTTATGAATTCAAGCCAAAGACACATTTTTCAGCTTAAGCATTATTTTGCCTACACGCATCAAGGTAGCGTAAAATACGCCTTGTTCACTAAAGCAGCCGTTCAAAACAAACCTTTTATCGGTTTAATAGCAAATGTGAGGGTTTTCTGCTGATTCCTCTGATAAGTTCAAAGTTTTAGCTTTGGTCGAATTATCATTCAAAACACCCTTCACTCCACAGTTTTCTGTTGAGCGCAAAGTGACACGAATGGACTAAGTATGAGTGTGGCGACACTTACATTTCCCCTTCACATTTAAAGGCCGGTCATACCACACAAGAGCATGGAGCAGAAGCAGTTAGGCAAGATAGCTGCAGACTTATTTGAAGAAGGGTTTGCACTATCAGGAGTCCAGTTGCATTCCATCTTGGTTTAGCTTTCGGTTCTGAGGCGTTAACTCCGACTGCATTGGTAAATTCGTCCATGAAACGGGTCGTGGTGATCGTTGCGACTTTCAGCACGACTTGGTAATCAATGAAATGTCTCCTCGAAGAGTCTATGGATGCACAGGCACACGGTCATGGAGCTGAAAACACCGATAAAAATTTGGGCAGTAGCTTCGACAAGTCTCCAAGCCGTGGGATTTTTTGAAAAGCTTAGCGGAGTTGAAAGAGGATCCAGTGACCCCTTTCAATCATGACGCTTTGGCTTGCGGAAGACTGGCAGTTGATACGTGCTGTGGAAGGACCAGATGGTAGTGGGGCAGACAAAGTCTTGACGCACTCGTGGAGAGGTGGATTGGAGGGACCTTAAAAATGTACATTAAATGTAGTTCTCCACGAAGCACTGGTAAGGCTTGCGGGGAAAAGTTACGTAAACATTACGTGATTACAATGAAGTTTTCATCTGACTTCTAGTGGTGAACATCTGTATGTCCTGCCCACTTCTGGTGTTTGTAGCTCACTAAGAATTGATTCTTTCTGTCATTCGTTTCGCAGCGTCTCTAACAGTCAGAGGTTTCTTCCTTGGTACTGTATGCTAGTCACAGCATCCTTATTCATACCAACGATTTCCCTCCTTTTTAACACTTATTTATCTTGAACAGTCGCGAAAGGAGCCGGAGCCTTACACTCACGTTTCTGATTTTACATAATAATAATAATAATGATAATATTTAGTCCTGAATATACATGCACACACCACTTTTACAGGTATGAATAAGTTTACATACAAGTTACATTCATCTTCATGGAAGGTAATCTGAATCCCTAACCGTTGTCACTAGGAGATATAAGTGCTGCATGTTCATATAATGGAACATCCCAGCAGGATAAGTGTGCAGAGAATTTACGAGCTGGACGAGTGGAAGTATTGTCTTCGCATTCACAGAAAGAAATAGGTTTGTATCCAGACACCACAGGTATTACCTGGAGAAAAATTAAGCTTGAGGCTAATACTTCCATTGTAATAGTTTGTGCTTTTGCTTGAGATAATGATGAAAAGTTGTGAATTGTTAGCATATTGTACTTCATTGACGATTCCAGGACTGTATAATTCATACACGCAACACAACAACCCATTCGGGTGTCGAATACAAATATGAAGCAAATTTTTCAATTTTGGGGTAAATATTTCGAGGCAAAGTGAGATTATCAGGTTTTCTAAGGTTTCTGACTAAGAATTACTAGTTCAAATTTACCTCTCTCCACTCTCCTTCTGCAGGATGATATGAGACCGTTTATTACTATTCTAACTGCTGAATAAGTGGGTTCAGATATTGTCTGTCGTTGTATGAACAGAAGCATGCGCCAGTGAGGGCTTGCATAATTGTTAGTTCGGATACGTGGTTTCGGGCATTCACTTTTCCGAAAAATGCTGAGATCAAAAATGCCTTTTATCCTTGTATTAGCAGAGTTGAAGCACATAAAGGGTTGACCAGCATGGGGTTTCTTCTTGTTCCTGAAAGAGTAATTGTGATCATGAAGCTTCAGACCCGGATAATTGATAGACTGTTGGGAAACGTGCTTCTATCTGGGTGATGTACATTAGGGATTATTCAGGCTTAAATCTGACTGGCATGGGTTTTCAAGGCTGCTGCAGACTGTGACACAGCCATACAGAATCGAACATTCACGCCAATATGTTTGGAACGTTAGGATAGTATTTCACAAAAAGAAGACTCGGGATATTATAAGGAATGTGATATCGCTATGTGTCAGCCTTGATTTGTGAGATTGAAAGACATTTTTGACACCCCTACAGACTTTCCCACTCCACTACTATTCCTCATAAGGCATCTATGTACACAGAAGTCACGAAAGATAAATATTCTTCCCATAAACTAGCATTTCCCTCACCAAATCAGTCTAACAGTTACAGATACCAACCGAAGAACGAAGAAGTGGCTTCCCCCCCCCCACCCCACTACCGTAGAAAAATCAAACTATGAGAGCTAAAACCTAGGAACTAAGTGTTAAAGACAAAAAATTATCAGTTCCCTATGTTGGCATTATTGAATTGAGTGTTTGAAACGGTCAACGTGGCAGTGACCTTTGCCAGCTTGCAAGCGCGTTGTTTTGGACAGATTGGGGATGGTTCTAATTGTACTTTGTTTGTGTGCAATTACGTTTAGTAATGGGCTATCACTCGAAGAAGTAATTTCAGATTTTCACTTAGATTATCGTTCAGACATTAGAAAACAAGGTTCGGAGGATGAGTGAACTTAGCACTGGGCAGTCATATATAAATCTTAACTTCGACCAATTTAATCTCTTATTGAGATCACAGCCAAGAAATTATTCAGTTATACTACTTTTAACAGCTCTAGGTTCTGGTAGAAACTGCGTACCCTGCAAGTAAGTCACTCCCACCTTACTTTACACTTAATCTGCAGACAGGCATTCGAGGAATTCCAAATAGTTGCTACCTCGTGGAAGTATTCTAAACAACGTGATAACCGTTTGTTTTTTGCGGTCGGAGACTTTGACAATGCGCCAGCTATTTTCGAATCAGTAAGTAGTGGAAATTTAACCTATCGCCATAGTTACATCAAGAAACCGCACCTTCTATTGTACATGTTTCGCCTAAAGGTAGTATAAAGCCGTCTGACTATATGGAAATTATGGTTCACGGATTTTCAGCAGAGGCAATAGTGCGATGGATCGCCGATTTAACGCAGATTCAGGTAGATGTCGGCTGTTTACATAAGTCTGTAGATTCGCGTTTTTCGTCCTCCAAGTTATACCGGGACCATGTTACTAGCACTTTTTATGTCTCTTGGTGCTGCAGTTTTGTACTTCCGTCGAATCAATTTGGAATGCTTGTACAACCGCTCATTGTGGAGTGCAATATCATTGGTAAGTCGAACATTTTGTTTATGAAAACAGTTAAAGTCCTGTGTGAATGGAACTGAAACATAAAGCCACGAGGTCCACAACCATTTTTACGCCATGCTGAAGTTTTTGGAGGTAGTTCTGTCATAAATTCTGCACAAAATAGATGTGTATCCAATTCCTACGATACTTTCGTGATCCTCATCTGACCAGCTTATTTATTAACTCGTGCCTGTAAAATGATCAGTATCTTAATCCCCAACACATTTATGGTGATAATCTACCCAATTTATGGCCACATACAAGTTATCTTCTATCTAGGTTTCAAAAATCTTCCTTCCCATGCAACGGAAGTGTTATAGCAATGTCTAACTGTTGAAGGATTACCGAGCAAATATACAAGCCTTATCACAACATTCCTTCCGAACTCAGCCATATACAGGCTTCCTGAGGATTATCGTAACAAATGTCAGCAGTTAAGTGTCCACCAGAGACGGATATCGTCATTGCTCCTCTTCAACATCCTTTTAGATGTTATCATGCACATAACCACAAGTAACTGACTTCACATTAATCGATTTACCCGCCGCAGGGCACCTGATTGATTTCGAGTACGCAGACGACGTGAGCATGCTAACACGATGTACGATCTTCTGCACGCCTTGGGCAGGAGTCTGAGTATGTTTGGCATGCACTTCGCACCTGTCAGACGTAAGATGATGCTTCACGGTTAGTCCGCAACTACCCTTGTATAAAGATAGACAATGAAGTGGTTCAATACGTTGACCACTTCACTCAATTAGAGTCTCGTCCACGTAAACAAGCTAGTTGCTGACAAAATCTCAGCCTGGATGCGAAAGGGTAGTCTCGCACTTGCCAACTGGTGAAATATGCGAGTATATTGCTCTGTAGCCCTCTCTCTCTCTCTCTCTCTCTTCCTCTCTCGTTACACAGTTGTGAGACGCGGCTGTGATTACAGGTTTCTGAAAACAGGTGTCTTTGTAGTGTTGCTCGCGTGTAGTGCAGTCACCATGTGAGTACTATCGACGTCAGATAAGGCAGGTGAGTTAGTCGATTTACTTGTGAACATTCACTAACTGAGGTCGCTTGAACATGAGTTGCACATGTCGACCCACCACTCACCTGGACGTGCAATGCTAACAGAAGTTGAATTAGGCAGGAAAACGGGTCAGGGTGGCCAGACCAACACATGACACCAGTCTCCAACTGTTGGTCTAATTCGTAGACGAAGGTGTAGACTAACTGGCTGGGGATTCTGATGCCGTAGGAATAGGAACCAATCATTGGATACCCTTGGTGAAATGGTTGAAAATCAGTCATAATGGCACAGATATATTCACTCTTTGACGTCTTTCAGGGCTTGACTATTTCCACTAACCTTTATCTCCAAATCTCTTCTCCTCCCATACACCTATATCTGTTTTGATTTCACTATTTTGCTACTCACTTTGCCGTTTGAATGTTACTGTATAGTTACTGTATGGTCTCTAAAGGTAATAAAAGTGGGATTTAAACCCGAAACCCAAGTTAACACCCATTTTAGTTATACTTGCATTTATTCTTAATCAATTTTATGAAAATGTTTCGTTCCTTCAGTTGGATTTGTCACTGCCGTGCAATAACGTCTAACAAAAACTGAAGCAACTGTATGTCTGTGTTGACCCAAAGCTTCAACTTACTCTTAGTTATCTTAACTGCTTCTGATTTCAGACCATAGAGATAATATCAACGAGTATACCAAGCTTTTCAGCCCTTTAACTCTTCAGGGATGTGCTTAGGTAGTCTCATTGGGTATAAAACAGTCAGTGGTTACACTCTACTTCTTTTGCTTCTCTCTATTCGAAAAATGAAACATTTTGGAAACCAGTTAAACTGATCTTCAATGCTTTATTTGCTGAATCCATTGATTCGGTGGAAGCAGACAGTCAAAATTTGTACCTTAGTGAGTTTAACTGACTATTAAGTTTCCATACCAAACTTTAGTGACTTAGAGTGATATCGTTTTTGACAGGGATAAAAATGAATCTAAGATGTCTCCAATCGTAGCACCGCTAGTCAAAAAGAAATAAATTTACTACTGTATCAAACCGCTTTTTTTGATTAAAATTTGAGTGACTCACGGATATAAGTACGTAATCCTTCTGATGGCTTTATGCCTTAACTCCCTTGTGTTACAGCCCACGGTAAATCAGTTTATCAGTATCAACATGGAACTTGGTATTACTATCCAACTGTTCAAGTTGCCACATCTCTCATCAGTGCATAATGATGCACAGTAGTAAGAGTATAGAATGAAACACTGTAAAGTAAAATGTCATCAGAGAAGAGGAAGGAAAAGTACATAAAGATTTGGATAGTGTATAGATACACCTGTACCACAGAATGGTTCTGAGCCATATCACCAAGAGTCTGTAACCGCCAATTTCAGTTGCTACGTGGACCCCAACAGACAAGTTAACATCTCCGTACACGATTCAGAAAAGTAGTCAGACTTCATCAACTGATGTCACAACTTAGTCTGGTCATCCTTCACCTTTTTCCAGACTGGACTCATGTAAGCTAGCATTGCACATCGGTGTAGATGGTGACTAGGTGTAAGCATCATTTCCCAACCATCTATGATGATTTTGTGATGCCCCAGTTTTGTATAAACATTGTTATCGATCCGAACAGTTTAACGTGTCATTCCCACACTATTTTTACGGTATGACTAATAGTCTATTTCTGCCCCCATTGTAATGTAATTTGCTGATTGGTTAACTTTTACTCTTACTATGCGAATTTCTGCAATTGCGGGCAGAGTCATTTTTCATGTGTATACTTATTCACGTGTTTTGGATTGATTCGTTGTTATCATATTATATTCTCGGAGTTATACACTATCCCATCTGCCAGCTTCGGTCTTCTCTCTATTCGTCCCAGGGTTGCGGCCAGCGTCTCTTGCGTACCAAGTTAGCTGTCAGCTAAGCGCGCGTATCATATTCGTTTCGGAATATATACATATACCATTAGCGCTTCGAACCCATAACAGATGAATACTTACAACCTCATCAACTGACCTACTTTTGCTAAATGCTCTACTTTCTTAACGTGGTGCTTACGGTGAGGTATCAGGTGACGTATCTAAATTGTGTGGTTCTCGCCAAGGTTATCTCACTTTCATGTAAATTCACCACGTCTTTGTTCATAAAGGTCCCCCTCTACTCGTCTGACTTTAAAAGAGATCATGTCGATGATTTACCACTTAACTTCAACTTATTGTTTTAGGACTGGTTTACGGTAATGACAATGAAGCGTGAACCGGTTTAGCACGTTGATCACTTCACTTATTTGGGAAGTCAAATCAGTTCTTATTGATTGTTATTGTCGAAATGTCGATACGGGTATAAAAAAAGCTCCGTTGACTTTTATTAGCTTGCGTTACGTATGATATGGTTGACATATCCAGTTAACTACGGAACATACGACATTTCGTAATTCCATAGCATTTCGGAAAAGAATCGATTCGACTGTGACAAACTTCAGGTGACTCAACAAAAAGTTACTCACTTGCACAGCTGAGCGTACGTTTTGTTAACCTATAATTACTTCTCGTCTTAGCTTTTCTACTTTTTTCTCATGATTCACTGCTACTATCCGCACCTTCATTTTTATTAATATGAATTTTGCTTTGTTGGTCCATTATGTTTGTCGTTTATGAAGTACGGCAACTTGGACCACATGCTTCACTATGCAAAATCTTATGTTATTACGGTTTGTCAGTGCATACTGAACAGATGATCGTAGGTTCATATTTTGTAGGTGATAAAATTATCATGATTTCCACTTGTTGATCATTGGTTATACTTAACCAATTCATAAAAAATTATTTCTATGATGTCACCTTTTCATAAACACTTTTCTTTTATAGGGTATCATACTATGTGCTATTTCTGGACAAGTATACAATCATATTCGCGGACCACCACTTTTCCATGCAGCACCTCCAAAGGGTGAAATTGTAGGATGAATTTACACTTATCGATTTTAATTATTTTACAGAAGGCTTTCATCTATGGAGGGTCTGACTACCAATTTGTTGCAGAAACATTTATTGTGATGATTCTATGTATCCTTGATTAATTTTTATAATTACTTTTATGCTCTGTGAGATTCTTTTGTGTGTATGACCTTAACTTTCAATTTAAAATAAGACATAGCATGTTCCGGAGGAATTCTTCTCATGAATGAAGTTGGTTCAACTACTGATCCTACAAAACGAAAAGGTAAGCTTTCTGGACTGTTTTTATTCCATTTAATGCATGATAAAGAAATTTTAGTTTGTCAGATGGATTGATGACTGTCAGTTCAACATGCTGTTTGCTAGTGTCACACTGATATGTTTTGGTTCAATTTGGCTAGCTGTATTGGGAAGTATGAGGTAAAAGCGAAGGTATAACAAATCTCTTCAACTCTACTTTCTTCGTATTTCAAAATTGTTAAGTTCTCCATGCATCATAAAACAGAGAGACAGGCAGAATCAACATAGAACCTCGCACACAAGTGCATCAGCTCGTTGCCATACTCCACAGTAGTATACAAAGAACAGATGGGTAGAAAAAGTGATGTGAAAGTAGACAAAGTCGTGTAAGAGAGTAAGCAGTTTAAGGGTAAAGGTTAGTACGATTGTTCAAGCTTTAGAAGAAATCAACAGGTAAATAAATCTGCGCTATTGTAACCGATTCTCAGCCGTGTCACCAAGGATCCTCACTCACTGATTTTTTTAATATCGATGACCCGTGCATAATAAACAATTTATAGTGGAGAATCTGGAGTTCTTAGTTAGGTGGAGGGAATCAGCTGGGAGCCCTGGACCTAGTTTTCATACTTGTTGGCACTCGTCAGCAACGTGTATTTGCAACCCCAACGGAACTGATCTCCCGCCTGAGATTTGAACCCACGTTACCCAGTGTTGTAGTCAGCGACATTACCACAGCTGTTTGGGCCGCAACTGACCTGTAAGACTGGACTAGATACATTGACTGGTCACTAAAAGGTAACCAACTTCATGTTGTCTAGTCCTAAGTGCGGATCAGATTCTATCGACTACCAGGTGACCAATCGAAGTATCTAATCCAGTCATACAGGAGGTCAGTCGCAATCCGAATAACTCAGTGGTGACTTCTTTGACTACAACACTGGATAACGCTGGTTTGAATCTCAGGCGGGACATCAACTTCATCGAGGTTGCAGATATACCTTCCTACCGATTGCTTCAATCCATCCAACCGACATCTATCAAAGTGTATCGCGATACTGAGCTGTTTAGTCTAGTGGCCATATTGTGAGGCGATCGATAGAATTCGGTCAACTTTTAGAACTAGGCAACATTAATTCGGTTACCGATGCAATTCGAAGTTCCTTACGTACAAAAATGTTTAAAAATGATAGTAATGAAGTACTTGTTTATTTATAGTAGTATGTGAGGGTGCTGATGTTTATAGACGTATATTTGCTTGAATTAAGATGATGTTTTATCACAGCCGATTACATTCCAAACATGAGAATAATCTAACTTTATAGTATGTAGTAATGCTACCAAGAATTATCGTTTAATAAGTAGGTGGAGATAGTCAGTTTCTCCTTATTCTAATTCAGATTCCTGTATAAATAATACAAGCGTATGATTCAGCTTAAGAACCTTTTGATGAAGAATAGCTAGCAATACTCATTTTCTATTTTTTATTTTTCAGTTTTTACAATATCAGGAATAGCTCTCTTTATGATATCTGTAAACTTAATACTATCTGTCTTTCGGAAAAAATATCCAGGTTATCCTTACGGGTAAGTGGATTGAAATTTCCAAAATTAAAATCCTTCTTCAATAGATTATTTTTCAGGTAAACTACTTGACCTAGTGAATCGAAGTGTGCTGGATTGTCGTATGTATCTGTCTTTTTAAAAAATGTGAACAGAAGGACTAAGTATTTTGAGCTATTATGTATCATAAAATTGTTTTGAATAAATTTGTTAACCTACTTGTTTCACCTTTTTAGATTTTGTTTGCAGAAAGTTAGAAATATCATTTCATTTACCCGCAGGTATCTTTATATTGTGCAACGTAACACCTGTTTTTCTAGCGTGGTATTTTCAAACTATGTGTTTGTAGCCTACTAGTGATTGTCTTCTTTGAATGTTTATAGGTGACTGTTAACTACCATGGGACGGTACAAATGTGCACAAACCAGATAGAATTGAAAATAATAGGAATTGTAGTATTAGTTTATTATTGGATCACATCCTACACAGACAGGTAAAACCGATGCACAACTTCTCACAGAAGTGCATCGGTTCAACTATACGCTAACATTCAAACGGCAAAGTGAGTAGAAAAATAGTGAAATCAAAACAGATAAAGGTGTATGGGAGGAGAAGAGATTTGAAGATAAAGGTTAGTGGAAATAGTCAAGCCCTGAAAGACGTCAAAGAGTGAATATATCTGTGCCATTATGACTGATTTTCAATCATTTCACCAAGGGTATCCAATGATTGGTTCCTATTCCTACGGCATCAGAATCCCCAGCTAGTTAGTCTACACCTTCGTCTACGAATTAGACCAACAGTTGGAGACTGGTGTCATGTGTTGGTCTGGCCACCCTGACCCGTTTTCCTGCCTAATTCAACTTCTGTTAGCATTGCACGTCCAGGTGAGTGGTGGGTCGACATGTGCAACTCATGTTCAAGCGACCTCAGTTAGTGAATGTTCACAAGTAAGCCGACTAACTCACCTGCCTTATCTGACGTCGATAGTGCTCACATGGTGACTGCACTACACGTGAGCAATACTACAAAGACACCTGTTTTCAGAAACCTGTAATCACAGCCGCGTCTCACAACTGTGTAACGAGAGAGGAAGAGAGAGAGAGAGAGAGAGAGGGCTACAGAGCAATATACTCGCATATTTCACCAGTTGGCAAGTGCGAGACTACCCTTTCGCATCCAGGCTGAGATTTTGTCAGCAACTAGCTTGTTTACGTGGACGAGACTCTAATTGAGTGAAGTGGTCAACGTATTGAACCACTTCATTGTCTATCTTTATACAAGGGTAGTTGCGGACTAACCGTGAAGCATCATCTTACGTCTGACAGGTGCGAAGTGCATGCCAAATATACTCAGACTCCTGCCCAAGGCGTGCAGAAGATCGTACATTGTGTTAGCATGCTCACGTCGTCTGCGTACTCGAAATCAATCAGGTGCCCTGCGGCGGGTAAATCGATTAATGTGAAGTCAGTTACTTGTGGTTATGTGCATGATAACATCTAAAAGGATGTTGAAGAGGAGCAGTGAGGACATGCGTTTTTGCTTGACACCGCTGTCTATCGTTGGTTGATATGTCAACCCCCCATAGACTTTTACGCGGCTGCGCGGGTTTGAGTAGAGAGCTTTGATAGACATAACATAATTGCTTGGTACTCCCTTCACAGTCAGACACTGCTACAACAGCTCATGGTTAGCAGAGGGAGATTTTTTCGGTTAAATAAATATGATAAGTGTCGGCTGCTGGGAAGTATGCATGTGTCCCTTGACCTGTCATAGAGTGAACATCTGATCGATGCAGCCTCGTCCAGGTTTGGATCCTGCCTGGCTTCCGCAAGTTTGCTGTTCTGTAGCTCCAGAAAGGCTTTGGACCACTATGGACGCAAGGATCTTGGACACATCGCTAGTTAGACTAATACTCCTAATGTTGTCACCAGAAGTCTTCTTTGCTTTTTTAAAGACTAAGGTGATCAGTAATTTAGAGCAGACTGATGCGGCTGCCTCTGATCCCCATTTTCTGCCTAGTAATTTCTATATTCTACCCTCTGTGATCAAGCATCAGATGCTGGTGCTTTCCATCATTTAATGTTTGGAACAGCTTTCTCAACGTTGAGGACAGTGGAAGGACCGGCATCTACGTCCCAATTCAGTTTCCAGATGCTGAACACTCGATTCGTTCCTGTGGGTCAGTCGAACTGTACTTCAAAGTATTCTCCCCAACGGTTTACCCGTTTGTTCTGAGGCGTTATCAGGATCTCATCCTTTTCGCTGATATTTCCACTAACCATCATTTTTTTCTTGTCTAGATAATTTCCGAGTATTAGCTAGTGCTGATTTTTTCTTCATCTCTCTCGCTCCCGCCACTGCTCGCGGTCATTGCAAAGACTTCTAGTCAATTTACGTTTCAGCTGCTTTCGTTCTCCGTATAGTCTCAGGCAGCTCACATTAAGCAGTTTGGATGACGTTGCAGAAATGCACTGGCTTTTGTCAACCTTTGGATGTATATTGCCGACTGTCTTTATCGCTTTCTATAACAGACTTAGTATCATAGCAGGTTTTCCTGCATGAGGAGTAGTTTGGGGACTTAAGTAAATGAATTATTGCATCACTTCAGAAAAATAGTCTCAACCAACAGGTGTTACAGAGGACGATACTTTTAAGGCGTTGGAGTTCTACAAACACTACTCAACTGATGCTTAGTATTGCTCGACTTCTGTGCTTGTGGGATGAAGTCATGGACACCGATAACTACATTGTAACGTGGTTTGAGCCTCTTTCTTAACTTCCTTGCGAAACTTTGGAATCATCTTATTTCAAACATGCTGTCACTCACACAAATATTAACTGTTTAGTTTTAGTTAGCAATTGTTCAAAATTTATCTAGTTGGGTGACTTTTGTTGCTATGACACGAAAACGTGCACAAACTTTAGTAAAAAAGAATATTTTAGTTTCATCTATTCAAGAAAAACTTCACTTCCCCGCAGTGAATTATTGTACTCTCCGGAAATGTATTCCATACTAAGTCAATCCAAGTAGAAAGAATACTGGTCTCTGCTGAGGCGCATTAGAAAGATTTTTTTTCAAAATAGTTATCAAAGAACAAAAACTAAATTTTTATCATAGATATACAGCAGAATAGTATAAGTTGAAGTACTAGCATATTAGAGTACGAGATTAATCACTAAAGTGGTAGGTTGATTTTAATCGCACAGAACTAGTTCGCATATAGGTGTAGCTCCCCAGTTGGATATCTTGATCATCCAGCAGAGTACGCTTTAAAACGTACATGCATTCCATAATATTCAATATTGGATTTGTTTATTTGGTTTATAACACGCAGTGATATAGTATTATTTACCTGATGACGTTTCGAACATAAATTATCATTGCTCATAATCATATCAATGTAATCACACTTCACTTTCGACATCTGATCTTTATGGTTTTGTCACCTCATATTCTTTGTTTTTATTGATAGTAACATTTCCTGCAATGTTATCAAAGAAAATAAACTGATATGAATTGATCCAATATGCTTGAATTGATAGTTGGTAAATTTGTGACTGTGAAACTATCAAGTGATTCTGACTTACTGCATATCTCACTGTCTGAAGAATATCGCTTCACTTATCTACACTTTATCCAAGCCTATGAGTTTCCTACTGAATCGAATGCAAGATGATTTATTTACTAATCTCCAAGTGTACAGCGGAGAAGTAAAAAGCTGACGACTTCCTATCCTTATATTCTGTATGATGTGGGTCATACATATATCGCATTATAATTTATTGAAAAGTAATAAGTAATTTCATATTTAGTAATTGGGATGATACGCGATTATTGATTTTCCTTGACTTGCAATTATTTTGCAACGGATAGAACTGAGCAAAAAGTCACTAGAAAGCGCTCTTACGCTGCACTGTATGTGAAATAAGTTCTAAGTGAGATGTGTTATAAAACAAATAAGATTAGTACAGCCTACAAGGCTTGTCTATTTTCATTTCTTCGGTTCGTTATAACACTGTTCATTTTGAAATGATTGAAAAAATTTGTAGCTCAGGATGAGGATAATAGTGGTTCGGTGTTCTCTGATCCTCGTTATTTTGTTGTAGACCTTTCATCACCGGGCTTGATAACATTTTCAGCACTAACTTCATCAAGAAGTGGGATATATTCGAATGTCACACAAATGTTTAGGTAGTGTTTTTGTCGACCTTGAGTGTTCAATTGTAAGTTTGGGGAAGAGATTTTTATCACATCTACACCTCTTTGACCTTACATTACACTCAGTCACACTGGTAGAGAATCTTTGAAAGAATGAGATTGGGTTATTTGTTACTGTTGGACTGTGCTTCATTATTGATTTATTTGGTTTCTTTGCCCTTGGTTGGTGAAAGGGCTGTATTTCTTCTTAATTAGACTATAGATTGAGTCCATGTCCAAATGTTTGTTGACTTTTCGTCAGAATGTCGTGTTTCTAGAAATTCTCTTGCAACTTTTGAACCTACTCTTTTGAAGGATTTCTACATTTTCTCAGTCGAATTTTTCATCGTGATTATCTGCTTAAATTAAAAATAAGGAGGTTGCATCATATCGCCTCACTGCTAGTTAATGCTCATGAATTCTTTGAACAATATGACGGCTAGACTGACCAATGTAATGTTGTGTATAGTCTCTACAATTGATTTTACAGATTACATATTTCCTATCTTCCTTTGCATCTGATCCTTCAGCTTGCATAATATGCACTGTAGTTATTTCGTTGGTTTGCGTGTTACTATAGTTCTGAAAGGATGAAGCACTCGGCTGATCGTTTCTGAGACATCCCTGATGAAAGGTAGAGTAACGCGCCTATTAATTTGAGGTATATTCACTTAATAAAGTGCTACCTAGTAATCTTCTGAATATATAAAGATAGTATTGATTCCTACATTTGACATTCACATAAGAAAATTTGTGCCGTTCATTGTTAAGTCCAATCGTTTATAAGAACAACGCTACATATGCTAAGAAAAATGATGATTTTCGACCCGAAGATACTTAACTTCTGTTGGCTACGAACAATAAGGCTGTTTTCGTATGCTAA